CCACTGGGAGGGGGAGGGGACGGGGCTCACAGCAGCCGGAGCTCAGCGCCCGGCAGACTGTGTTCCTGTTTGCAGAGGTGCCTGAGTGGAGATCCCAGCCAGCAGCTCTGCTCTTCTATGAGTGGGGCTGCGGGGCAGGAGGGCGAGGAGGAACCGGTGAAGCCATTCAGAGCAGGGTCGCAGCAGGAGCAGGGCAGATGGGAACAACCTGGAGTCGGTGAGGGCGGAGGAGGGAAAGCCTGCAGCTGCCAGGAGTTTGCCTGGTTTGTCCGAAGCGTCAGGAAGCCCCTCGAGAATGGGACCCGGTCCGTGTCTCCTCACAGTATGTACCCTGTGCCTGGCACGGAGCCCGCCATGTAGTAAATATTTGTTGACTGAGTTAAAAGGGAGTGTATGAGTGAATTCGCCATCTACATGTTTTACATAAAATCCTTCCTTCCTTAGCCTGCCGCCTGCTGCACACATTTCAGACACAGGGCTGCCTGCCTGAGGCTCCATAGATTCCAGGCTGGCCAGCCTGTGGCATGAAGCAAGTCTCTGTAACCTATAGATGCACTCAATTTGCAAGTGAAATTATGCATGTTCCAGGTTCCGCAGTACCTGAAAGCATGCATGTTCGAGGTTCTGTAGTACCTGAAAGCATGCGTGTTCCAGGTTCCACAGTACCTGAAAGCATGCGTGTTCCAGGTTCCGCAGTACCTGAAAGCATGCATGTTCGAGGTTCTGTAGTCCCTGAAAGTATGTGTGTTCAAGGTTCTGTAGTACCTAAAAGTATCTAGTATGCGTGTTCCAGGTTCCGTACTACCACAGAAACAACTAAAGGCCCTTTCATGGAGTTAGTTGAAAAATTATGGCACACCCATCACTAGAATACTTTGCATCCATAAACAAACAAACAAAAAGCTCTCTATGTTCTTATACTGAATTTTATCCAATAGTGAGTGAAAAAAGCAAGATACAGAATAGGTTATCTGGGTGCTATCATTTGTATAATGGAGGGAGTAGAGTAACTCCCACATATAGTCTCTTGAAGGATATATATGAAAGTCATCATATTGGTTGTTTCTGGGGAATAAGAACATCTTTTTGTGACTTTGAAATTTGATACCAAGGCACTGAGAGCCTCGGGCAGAAGCATGATGCAGACCATTGCGGGTGGTTCGAGCCTGGGAGAGGCTTCTGTCCCCAAACCTGGGATGCACACAGAAGGGCTGCAGAGACTGGGAGCAGGTCTTGCTAGAGAGAGGCATGGGCAGATTTGAAACTGGGAATGAATGTGGCCCTAAAAGGAGGGTCTTAGGCTCTCGTCATGATTGACATCCGATAGTCTTGTCCATAACATCATTATTAAACACAGCCCTTTCGGTACCTTTTTTTTTCTATTTTGCTTGTAAGTAGGCTCAGGTTTTCCGGAAGGTGGGATCTGAAGGTAGCACATGCCGGGGCCTTACTGCCACAGGCTGTCCCAGAAGGACGGCCACTGGGCTTCTTTACTTATGGGGACAGCTGGGTACAATCAGAAGGAGATGGGCCAGGCATGCAGGGCCTGCGCTGCCAGGACATGCCAAACCCTCCCATCCTTTAAAAATAGGAACTGAGCCCTGCTGGCGAGGCTCAGTGGTTGAGTGTCAACCTATGAACCAAGAGGTCACAGTTCGATTCCTGGTCAGGACACATGCCCGGGGTTGTGGGCTCGATCCCCAGTAGGGGAGGTACAGGAAGCAGCCAATCAGATTCTCATCATTGATGTTCTCTCTCGCACGCTCCTTCTCCCTTCCTCTCTGAAATCAACAAAACCATATTTTTTGAAAAGGAAATAAATAAAAAATAGGAACTGAACATGCAGCCCATGTTTACTTATCAATACGGCATTGGCCCTCAGAGTCACACTGCTATGTTATATTCAAATTGCTTCCTCCACCCGATTTTGAGAGCTGACTGGTGACCAAGGAAAACCTCATTATCCAGTGGAATTTATTAATAGAGCTCCAAGCCCCAAGTGAGATCTCTAGTAACCTAGTAATTCTGCCTCTTCGTCACAAACCCATCTAATCCAGAATTTTCTCAAATTCATTTACTTAAGAAGTTAGATCATTCATTACAATTAATCTGGTGGGCAAAGACAGCCAGCTGCTCAAGTGAGAGCCCAAATTTTCTAACAAATTGAATAAACACTCATTTGTTTGTTTGTTGATATGATTATAGAATTAGCAAAATTGCCTGTTCCTCAGCATGAAAAATTAAGATCCAAATTGTTTCATTATGACTTTTCTTTGTTACAAGTTAAATGAAATGGAGAATCTATGAATCACAAACTAAACAAAATCATGGTTAAGAATAAAAACCATTGGAACAGAGTCTGAAACCTCTAAGCAGGCTGCGATCTGCAGCAGGCTCTTTCTCTAATACGGAGCCCACATCCTCCTGAGCTGGTGCTGATCCCCGCCACAGACCTGTCTTTTCAAATTGCTTCCTCTTTATTGAAATCCGGTGTCTCATAGGGTAATTGTTCATTAAGACCTTCTACTGTATGCATTTCACTGTGTGCAACAGTTTTGCAAGAGTCCAGGAACATGCTAAACAGAGTTTAGGTTTCTTACCGTCTTATCCTTTACATTTAAAGTAGATTAATTTGCAGAAATGGCACCCTTTACTCAGAAGAATATCTGTGTGCAGTTGGGGCAGTGGGAACGCTTATTTTCTTTTTTTTCTATCTTTCTTTTATGTTTCAGTTAGTTTACATTCGGTATTATTTTGTATGTTCCAGGTGTGCAGCACAGTGGCTAGCCCAGGGGTGGGCAAACTTTTTGACTCGAGGGCCACAATGGGTTCTTAAACTGGACCGGAGGGCCGGAACAAAAGCATGGATGGAGTGTTTGTGTGAACTAATATAAATTCAAAGTAAACATCATTACATAAAAGGGTACGGTCTTTTTTTTTTTTTTTTATTTTTTTTTTTTTCAAAGGGGGCGGATCCGGCCCGGGGGCCATAGTTTGCCCACGGCTGGGCTAGACAGTCATACTTTACAAATTGTTCCCCCAACATTTCCAGTACCCACCTGGCACCATATCTAGTTATTAGTCTTATTGACTATACTAGCAGCCCGGTGCACGAAATTCATGCACGGGCCAGCCTGCACCCTCTCACAATCCGGGAACCCTCGGAGGATGTCCGACTACCGGTTTAGGACCAATGGGGCCTAAACCGGCAGTTGGACATCCCTCTCTCAATCTGGGACCGCTGGTTCCTAACTGCTCGCCTGCCTGCCTGATTGTCCCTAACCACTCTGCCTGCCTGCCTCATCGCCCCAACAGCTCACCTGCCTGCCTGACCACCCCTAACCGCCTCTGCCTCAGCCCTTGCCGCCACGGCTTCATCTGGAAGGATGCCCGGAAGGTCGTTCGGCTGCTGGTCTAATTAGCATATTATGCTTTTATTATTATAGATTTGCTATGCTTTACCTCCCCAGGACTATTTTGTAACTACCAATCTGTATGTCTCAATGCCTTCGCCTCTTTCAATCAGTTCCCTAACCCCCACCCCTCCGGCAACCATGAGTGTGCCCTGTGTCTGTTTGTTTAGTTTGGGGAATGCTCATTTTCATGCTGCTCTTATTTCTCTAAAGAGAAGGAAAAGTGCTAAAGAACATTGCAGGCCTCTCCTCCCTGCTTCCTGGCAGCAAGGACAGACTTAGCTGTTTGGAGACAGTGGGGGCATGGAAATGGGAACAGAGTGAAATTATATTAGACAAGAGCAAACGGTAGAAGAGAGTAAAATTCCTTAAGTGGAGAACAACCACCGTGTACTACCTTTTGGAAAAGGCCAATATACGCTAATATCCACACTGGGAATTGAGCCCACCACCTGGGCATGTGCTCTGACCAGGAATCGAACCAGCAATCCTCTGGTGCACAGGACAATGCCCAACCAACTGAGCCACACCAGCCAGGGCTCACCTAAGTTTTTATTGCTAATGACATTTGCAATGCTTTGGGGAACCATTTTCTTGGACAGAATAAGGGTTTTGGATTGTTTCAATGCAAGAAACTAAGAAAGCAGCATCAAACTGAGTCTGTTAGTGAAGGCATGAGGAGAAAACTCTCTCACCCACTCCTTAGTACATAACAAGGCTTTCATGAAAGCCTCTAATGAAAACGAAGTGATTTCCCCCTTAAGCAAAAACATATGAAGAGTGCCTTCAGATATCAAGAGATGGCTGGGTATACACAGCACGAGCACAGCATGACAATGGTACCCATCACATTAACAAAAGTTTTTAATGCAACAACTGTTACAAATGAATTTCTAGGCATGCAAGTGAGTGAATTCAGTTTTAAAAGCTCGTTTATTATTAAACTAAATGCCAGGATTAGGAGTATTTGTCATTTACAAAGCATTCCGTATGTTATAGTAAAGCCATCGAAGAGCTATTGTGTTAATCACAAAATCCATCCAGTCTTTAATGGACAAGGGTAATTTAATCAATTCCATGCTTCAACTCAGCAAGAATTTCCAGTGTGTATCCTGCACGACTCTCAGTGGGGCCTTGACTTACGAGTTTAATTCGTTCCGTAACGGAGCTCGTAACTCAAATTACTCGTATGTCAAATCAACAGTGAACGAGTGAGACACGTGATGCTGGGCTGATGTTGTGGCGTTCACTGTGACGTTCGCTGTGCCAACTAGCAGTGGGGTATCTGAAGCTGGCTCGTAACCCGAATTTTAGCTTGCAACTCAAAGCAAAAAATAGGCCGAGAGACGGCTCGTATCTCGAAAAACTCGTTAGTCGGGACACTCGTTAAGTCAAGGCCCCACTGTATTAAGAGATGATAGGAAGGATGCAAATCTCATGGTCCAGGTACATGCGGCCCAAGCCTGCAATCAAAATAAGCCTATAATCTTGAACAAAATTGGAAACTTAAAATAGCACAATGGCTGCTACCCACAGAATTGATTATGGGTTTATGGCTCAGAGTCATTTGAGATGCATCTAATAGAGGGCTCACAAAGAGCATTCTCAAATGGAATTTAAGTAAAGCATGCTTAAAAATAATAATTTATTGCATACTTACCACCTGTCAGTCACTGAACTAAGACACTAATGGAATTAAGTCAACTGCTCCTCACAATGTCCCACGAGAGGGGAGCCACTGCAGGCACACCATACGGAGGAGAAAACGAAGGTGGGTGGTTAAGTGACTGACTTTCTCAAGGTCTCACATTCAGTCAGGAGGAAAGCCGGGTGGGAGCTGTTCATACGAGATCTCCTAACGCAGCCTTGTTTGCAGAGATTATGGCCTATTATCCACAGTAAACTCATCCACTCCAATCGCACGCCTTACTTTACTGCTTAGAAAATATTACAACCTGCTTTGAAACACCCAAATATTTAAGGATTACACTTGATACCTCAGTCCTGGTGTTGACTTTGAAATCAATGTTTTAGTTTATAACTGTAACTTCTGTTTTAAAATTTGAAAGATTATGTATGCCAACTTCTAACCAGCGCCAGATTTTGACTTTGGGGTAGTTGGGAGACACTTCAGAGAGCTGCCCCAGTGACTGACTCACACTGGTAAATTTTCCGTTCTCACAGTCTGGGGCCTTCTGGTTGCAGTCTTCTCGCTCAATATCACCATCTCCCACAGGCAGGAGTCCTCCAGCTACATTGAGACGCGTGGCTCACCAACACGGCATTTGGCCAGGTAGCCATGATTTACTATGCATTCAACCCCATGTTCCAAGCACTTTAAAACCCATTACCTCACTTAAATACCATTAAAAATCCTGTATTATAAGGAAACAAAGAGATTTGTCCACAGCTGACAAGTGGGACAGAGGAATTCTTACCCATATTTTATCAGAGGTTTTATTGATTTAACGATTTTCTATTTGAGTCTCCATTTTAGATTGTTTTGTGACAAATTAAATGACTTTATGAACAATAAAAATGTCTTAAAATATAAAAAATTCAAGAAAAGCCATCTGTCTTGATTTTCTGGATGGATGAGATAAAAACTACTAAAATGCCAACAACTGTTTTAATGAAAAAGTATTTCCTGGCTAAATATCTTTGGTACCTTAGGCTGGTAAATTATTATCATATAACTTGCCTCGTTCTAATTCTCTGTAGCCACAAAACGTTTAATGCTAACTCCAACTCCACTAAGTACTACCTCATAATAAAATGCTCATTTCAACATTTTAAAGGCAAATTGTAAAGATAGCATTGATGCAATATTGTACTCCAGGTGCCCTCTAGTGGACATAGGTGGTTTCAGAAATCACTTGCTAGGTTTTAAGTGAAAACCGCCTTAGGAAGGAATGAGGCATCCCTTCGCCCTATGCTCTGTCCACTCTTGTTTCTCCTCCTTTACTCTTGTCCAGGTTCCCGAGATACGAAGACAATGCCACTTAGTGTTAAAGCGAATAAAACTTTACAGGGCTGGGAGGTGGGTAGGGGACACGACATAGTTTTCCTGCGATGGAGCATCACCAAACAGGTTTGACCTTGAGAAAAATCATGAAATGGGCCACGTTTTTCGTCAGCATCCTACCACTTCCCCTTTAGTCCCCCCTGCTCCTGCAGCCCCGCCAGCCTCC